ACTTTGCGAAAGTTCTATAGGGGATGAATTTGGTATTTGGATATTATTTGTATCAATGCCCTGGTCAATTATGAATGTTTAAGAATGGATTCTCTATGGAATTTAGATTTGGATCCGGAATTTGTGTAAAGAGCTATTAAGCGATAAAGTTTGGTAAAGTATTCGGATAATCGGATCGAATTGGAAGTTTTCAAAAAATTTGAAGGATGGTAGTATGAGGTTAATATTATTATGTTTATAGTTTTAATTAGTAGAATTTGATGTGGATCAGTGGAATTAAGTGGATTTTCGATGTTAAAGTGAGATAGTTGAATTAAAGTGACTAAATTGGAATTTTGGAAAAGTACAAGGGAAAAGATGGAAATTAATAAATATGATTTTTTATTTTAGTTTGAAGATGTAAAAATGGTTATGAAAACATGGCAAGGAGGTAATTATCTTGAATCATTAAGGGTAGAAATGACTTTTGGACTAAAATAAATTTTAAATTCATTTTAATGGGTTTTAAAGATAATTTTAAGGAGATTTTTGTTTGGAAAAGTCAAGAACTCTCATCTTCATCCTCCTTGCTTCCATCAACCATAACCAAAGGTGAGCAAACTTTTTTTTTCATTTTTAAGCCATTTTAGTAGGTTTTTGGACTAAAGTGTGAAATAGAAAAATAACATACATCAAATTTTCTACAAGTTGGTATAAATATTTAATGTTTTCATGCATGAAGAATTGATTTCTTGAATATGGTGGATGAAGGGGAAGTTTAATTTTTAATGATTTAAAGTTGGATTATGATGTTAGAGATGTTGTAGAATCATTTCCTAGCATGAAACTTGATTGGAAACGCTTAGAATTCTTGTATGAAGAATTCGACCATGGTTGAAATTCTTGAGGAATTGTTGAATTTGATTAGTTTTTTATATGGAAATGATTGATATTACATGGAAATGATGCTAAGGGCTTGAAATCATGTTTGAATCAAAGTGAATTTTTTTCTAAAATTCCTTAGGTATAATCGGCCAAGGTGAAAGATATTAGGGGAAAATATACAAAAAATTTCCTAAGGGTTAGAATGGATATGAGAATGATTCTACATGCATTGGAAGTTGTTTGCACCAAATTGAAACTTCGTAAAGTTATAGGGACCTTTTTATAATATTTGAGAAATTATAGGAGTAAGATGAAAGTGGTTGAAAGTTGTACTGTGCTGAAATTTAATGTTTGAATATTGAATTGAATCAATTTGGAAAGTTATGTAAGTTTGAGGACCATTTGTAAGATTTTGGAAAAGTTGGTGATGAAATGGCAAGTATGCAACGATTATGTACTAGTTTGAAAGTATTGTGAAAATGATTGAATATGGTGATTGATATGTAATTTGAGTGGAATAGTAAAGGACCATTTTGGATGTTTTTAAAATGTTGAGATGATTTTTAAAGAAACTAATATTGGTGAATAAATGTGGAAGTATTGAAAAGTTAAGTGAATTATGGTCATAAATGAATTTTAGAGGGACTTGAAAGGTTAATTTGAAAAGGTTAAAGGTTGTTTCGATTAGATGGAAGAAAATTAGTATTGAATATGTATTATCGTATTTTAAGAATTTTTTTACGAAGACGAGCTTATTATGTTAGTTAAGGTACTAACATAAGTTTGAAATTTTATATGTCGAATAAATGATTTACAAGTAGATTTTGATCGAAATTGAGATCAAAGCAAGCAAAAAGGAAATGACAAAGTTTGAGAGTAGAAGCAATAATATAAATAAAGCACACTATTGAGGCATCAGGTGAGTGCATTTTTCCTATTTTATATACGATATGAGGACGGCTTGTAATGAGCTAACCTCGAATGTTTTCAAATAAAAACAATTTGAATTATTTTATGATATTTATATTGATTTATTAAATAGATTTTAAATAATTTTGGGTATGAATTTACTCAACTTTTTATATGAATTTTATTACATGATATTTGAATGTTTTGGTTATGAACAACGCAATACAAATTTTATTTATGAGATTTTGATATTTTTGACATGAATGGTTTTATATGAGAAATGATATACTTTATTACATGCTTTTAATTAATGATTTTGGGCATGAACTACCCAATGCATAGTTTATAAATTTTTTACTACATTCATATAAATATGATTTTAAATAAATGATAAATGGCAAATGATTTTAATAAAAGCCTAGTCTATGTGACTTGAGAGTTAGTGATATAATTGACATGCCATGTGGTGGAGTGTTATTGATCGATCATACAGAGGTACATTCGTGTACAACATAGTTACAGAATACATTTATGTATTCGGGATTCATAGGTACAGTGATGTTGTGTTCTACAGTACTTGTACATTCACAATGCACCTATAGTGCAATTACAGTTACAGGACACTAAATGTACCATACATATACATCAGTTTATACTGCACACAGCATAGAACACTCGTTTATTGACTCGTGTACCATATATTCTCATGAGTATACATTGGGCTATAAAATTATCTAAAAAGAAATAGTCCATGAAAAAGGAACAGTATAGGAAAAGAAACAATATAGGAATAAAGAACAATACAAGTTTGATTTTTATATTTTACAGTAAAGTTTTATTTGTAAAGTTTTATTTTATAAATGATTTTTATACAATATTTTATTTTTCTTATTATTGAAATGTTTATTTAGTTATCTTAAATGCCTCCCTAAGTGAAATTTTAGCTTGTGATTGTTTAACACATAGGTACAAGTACAAGCAAGCGAACAAAGTAGAGAACGTGTTAGCATCATTTCTGAGAAATCGAATCTACCTCCAAAATCAGTAAGGACATTGGACATCATAAAATGTTACTTTTTAATTATATAGTGGCATGTATATTATAGAGTTTTTATTTGATCTAATGTGGAATTAATGTAGGTTGCAAATGTTTTAAATATAGAAATTTAAAGTATAATAAGTAGTATAAATGAATAGTATTTTAATAAAACATGTTTTAAATATTAATATGTTGATTTTCAATTTAGGCAGTATTATTTATAATATAAAATAGTATTAAACTGCCTAGTTGTTTCCCAAAATAAAATTCGGTTTTGACATTAAATTAATTAATTATGATTTTACATGAATTAGATTTAAAATAAGGAAATATGATTTGGAAATTTAAAAGAAACAAAAAAAATCAGTTTTCAAATAGAAAATGTTTTTTTTTGATGTGACATCTCTGACTCGTATACAGGTTAAGGGTGTTACACCTTTGGTAGTACTAATACTACTTGTTGTTTTTCAAAGTGTTTAGATTCCAATAAGAAAAATTAGTACCGATATTCAAAAAGTATTGTTACTACTTTACACAGTAGTATCGATACCATGAAACCCTAGTATCAATACTAGTAAGCCTAACGGTCGATAACAGCTAGTTTATTTAAAGACTACAAACGAAGTACCGATACTCTTAGTCCGAGTACTGATATTTCATGTTTTGGGAGTTTTTTTAGAAACTTAATCCCCAAAGTCTTTAAAACATCTCTAATGGCTAGAAACGGCTACAAACTCATTTCAACATATAAAAACAAGTTGAGGACGCCTAAAGAAGGTTACAACACTTATCCAAGCAATCTAGATAAAGAGAAAAGCTCTTTCACTCTTTTTTCTTTCTTTTCTCTTGTAAATAGTGTTTTGTGAGTTTAATTTTTGTAAACACCTATCTTGTGAGATTTTTCTTTGTTAGGTATGACTCATATACCCGTTGGAGGAAAAATGTTGGAGCGGAGTTGTTTTGGTAATTGTATCAGGGTTGCTTTTATATTATGTAATTGTAACCTAATTGTTATTATTATTGTTAATAATAAGAAAACAGACGCTCATCGCTCCCGAGGATGTAGGCACCTTACTGAACCTCGTTAAATTTTGTGTTCTTTATTTTCTTTACTATTCGTTTATTTCCTCTGTTACCTAGCCTGATTTCCCAACATTCTTGTTACATATTTTACCTTTTGTAAAAGGGGAGTTGTTCTAGTTTAGCCATTGAAAAACCATAGAATTTGTAAATGTTACTCTTAAGCCTAGAATAGAAAGAATAAATTAGTGAATTTATTAGAAAATTCTTATTGCATGTCTAATGTAGTGGATGTAGACTTCATTGAGGAAGTTGAACCACTATAAATCATTATATCATTTTTTCCTAACATTTCTCCTCAATTCTCAAATTTTTCAAAATTTCAACTCACTCCCTCTTAACTATTTTTGTTTGATTCATAGAGCCTAAAATCCTAACAATTGGTATTAGAGCTTGAATCATTTGAAGGTCTTACAACCTCTTGAGTCCATCCTTGAATAAGCTCTAAAATTATCGTCGCAACCATGAAGATGACTTCTATATCCAGCTCATACTACCATGAGGACTCCTACTCCTTCACAAGGCCTCCTTGCTTCAATGGAGCAAATTATTACTATTAGAAAATAGGATGATATTGTTCATCCAAGTCACCAACCTTACGGTTTAAGATACCATTGTCGACGGTTCTCCTATCCCTCCAAGGAACCAATTGGAATGGACAAATGAAGATTGGAAAGTTGTCTAACTCAATGCCAAAGCCATGCACATCCTCTTTTGTACCCTTTGCCCGAATAAATATAGTAGAGTATCTGTATGCTCTAACACTAAGGAGATTTGGAACAAGTTAGAGGTGACTCATGAAGGAACTAGTGAAGTGAAAAAGTTAAAGATTGACATTCTCATTCTCAACTACAAGAATTTCAAGATAAATCTTGATGAAAGCATAAAAATGATGTCCAGTCGGTTCACTTTCATCATCAACTAGCTTAAAGGTTCTAGGAAGGTTTATTCCAATGAAGAAGTAGTGAGAAAGATAATGTCTTGGGAAGGAAAGGCTATTGACATCGAAAAAGCCAAAGATTTGGAGTTACTAACTCTTGATGAGCCCATTGATTCTCTCATCACCCATGAGATGCGACTCCAAAGGAAGAAAAAAGAAGATCAAGAGAAGAACAAAAAGAAGAATGAGTTAGGAATATCTTTCAAGTCCACCAATGAGAGTAATCAAGACTTAAGTGAAGAGGTGGATAAACATGAAGAGATAGTCAAGCTCTTTAAAGGATTTATAAGGTTCATGTTGAGGACACTTGAAGAAGGGTACAAAACCTATCCAAGCAATATAGATCAAGAAAAAAAATCACTCTTTATTCTTTCTTTTCTTTTATACATAGTGTTTGTGAGCTTAATTTTGTAAATACATACCTTGTGAGGCTTTTCTTGTTTACATCTTTTACCTTTTGTAAAAAGGGAGTGGTTTTAGTTTAGTCATTGAAAAACTAGGGAATTTGTAAATGTTACTCTTGAGCCTAGAAAAAGAAAGAAAAAATTAAGGAATTTGTTAGAAAATCCTTAGTGTTGAACCAAGGTAGTGGATGTAGACTTTATTGAGGAAGTTAAAGCACTATAAATCATTGTGCCACTTTTTCCTATCCTTTCTCCTCAATACCCAAATTTTTCAAAAGGTCAATTCACCCCCTCTTGGCTATTTTCGATAGACTCATATAGCCTAAAATCCTAACATTTTCTTTTAATAACCATATTTTTATGTAGAGTTTTAAAACGCATGTTACAAGTTTTAAAATTTTAGTTGCATAATGTATTTTAATGCTTGAGAAAAGATCTTCAAATGATTATATTTCATCCCCAACGGCTATAAATGACTACACACTCATTCCTTGTAATATAAGAACTTCAAGAACACTTTAAGAATGTGACGACACCTATCCAAGCTTAAGGATCAAGAGAAAAAAGCTTCAATATTCATTTTTAATTTTTTTTTCTTTTGTACATCGTGTATAGAGCTTTGTTGTATATCTTTTTATTTCATTCTTAAATATCCACCTAGAAAGATATCCATTATTTACAAATACCAAACCCTGTAAAAGAGAGTATTTATAGTTGTCTTAATAAAAATTAGAATAATTCTATCTCTGTCATTGTAAAAGATAGGGGAGGTTTCTGATAAAGACTTGAAAATATAGTTTTATAAAGTTTAAACATTTTCTTTGAAAGGTTCAATTCAAGTTAGTGCATTCAGAAATATTTAATCGTGAAAAACAAAGACAATAAATATAGACTTTGATTGAGAAATTTAAACAACTAAAATTCGGTTGTGTCAAAAGTTTTATTGTTTTGTTCAAACCTCTACCCAATTTTTTTTAAATGCTAATTCACCTCTATTAAGGGTTTTTCGGAGGAACGATTGAGCTAGCAAAATAAATTTTAATATTAATCTATAATTTTTTAGAATAATAATATCATTTTTTCACTCATAAAATTATACATGATAAATATATTAATACTAAAAATATAAAATAATTTTAACTAACTAAATTTATTAATATTTTATTAAATTAAACGCATATATTATTATTATTATTATATTTATAACTTTGAATAAAGTACAAAGAATAAAAATTGAGAATGATTCATATAAAAAGAAATTATTATTTTAGGGGTATTTTTACACAATGTGATGAAAAATTATATAATACCTTAGAATTTAGAAGTAATGACATTCAAAAATATATTAATATTAATATTATCTGGTAATAATATTGTTTTAAATTAAATGTGAAAATATAATTTTTAAAAAATTATTTCTCTTTAATAATAATTTTTTTCGTGTGTCAGACCTTTATTCAGTGATTTATTTATAATAATATTTTAATAGACTCTTGTCAAAAAAATATATTTTAACTGATTAAATAATATACGTTTTCTGAAAATGACCTATTTGTTCATACACATAAATAAATTGAGAGAGAGAGAGAATTTGTTCGGCAGCGAAATTTTTTTATTTCACTTTACTAATCCACTATAAAGAACATCAGCAGGTGCAGTGAATGAGATGAAACAGAGATCTTTAATCTCTTCTCTGATCAAAACTACTGTCAACTTTACCCACTGCCAGCATCATATCATCATCAATGGCTTCCTTTAAGCCAAGAAAAGTGTTCCTTTCCCCTACACTAAGCTCTATCTAAGACACCCTATACTGTTCTAACATAAACTTTCCCTCTCTTTCTTTCACTCTGGTTTTTTGCCGAGAAAATTCTTGTTGAGCAGAATTTTGCATCAAAGAAACCCATTTTCATAATTTGGTTACTGAATAAAATAGTACAAAGAAGAAGGTTCTATTAGTAAAATCTGAGTTTACATAGAGAGAAGAAAGATGATCGAAAGAGATGGGTTAGGCTGGGAATAACTGCTGTAACTTTGGACTATGGTGATTGAACTTTTGATTAAAATCTACAAGAAGAAAAGCTTAAGGATCTGAGCTTGGATCCTCCAAGGAATCGTCGTTATCAAGATCGAAATCAATTGAACATGCAAGAAGAATGGGAGAAAATCACCGCCAAGCTGCAACATCGTCAAGGTTGAGGATAAAGCACGTTGGAGGGGAGATCGTGGAGGTTGAAGGAGGTCACATTGTTCGATCAACCGGCAGGAAAGATCGTCACAGTAAGGTTTGCACAGCCAACGGTCCTCGAGACCGACGTGTACGTCTCTCGGCTCACACCGCCATCCAGTTTTACGACGTCCAAGACCGCCTTGGATACGACCGTCCCAGCAAAGCTGTAGATTGGCTTATTAAAAAAGCCAAATTCGCCATTGACGAGCTCGCTGAGCTTCCTCCATGGAACCCTTTGAATACAATGACTTCAACGAAGAAAACCAACAAACAAGAAGACCCGAACGCCTCAACAGCAGCAGCCGGTGATTTTCACATCGAAAACGAAGTGCAAAGTCTCGAGCAACGAGAGATTGGAGATAACTTGGATAACAATAATTCGGGTTTTCTTCCAGTTTCTTTCGTTTCTGATGAGCTTGCTGATACTATCACCATCAGTCATACTCAAGATCTACGGCTATCTCTTCAGGCATTTCCGGAGCCGATTCATTTGCATCACCACGGTGAACACCAAGCTGCTACAGCTACGGGACACAACAGTGAACCTGTTTTATTCTCGGGAACCACAGCATTAGCTGGTTTCGATGGGTTAAATGCTGGATGGGAGCACCACCATCAGCATCCGGCGGAGATTGGGAGGTTTCACAGATTGTTTTCCGCTGACAGTGGCGGCTGCAACGTCGGTGGATTTCTCTTTGGCACTCCATCACAACAGGTAGTGCCACCGGCTTATGGCCAAAACAACCACTTTTTTTCTCAGAGGGGACCCCTTCAGTCCAGTAAAACGCCCTGGGTTCGTGCTTGGATAGACCAACCAATTGATGAGCACCAGAATTATCATCACCAAATCCCACAAAACACTCATCATCAAGCTGCTTCATCAACCATTGGATTCACCACATCTGGTGTATTCTCCGGTTTTCACATTCCATCCCGAATTCAGGGCCAAGAAGAGGAGCATGACAGCATTGCCAACAAGCTGTCCTCTGCTTCCTCTGATTCTCTCCATCAATCGATCAATTTGGTTTAAAAAGAGGTTTACTTCTACTACTTTCTCATTTCTATTCCAACTTTTACTTCAAGTTGCACTTACATGTTGATTGTTGACAGTGGCTTGGGAAGATTTTGGTCACTTGGGATCATTGGCTTGTACCTTGGGGAAGAAGAAATCTAGGTGGATTTTCAGGTTATCGCATCCGCAGTTTGTTTAGTTTCTATATGTTGATTGTTTTTAGCTTTAATGTACATTTGATTGAGCTCTTAGAGCTTAAATATGGTTTCTTTTTTCCTCGGACATCAAATATGTTTTCATGTTACTGAACTTTTTGTTTCCAGTGTTTGTATTGTTTGCTGCTCTTTACTTGTGTTTCATTCAAGAAGCAGGCCTAGTTTGTTTTGATTCAGATTTGTGCTTTCTCCTCAATTAGGCCTATATTTCTCTGACTCGAATATTAGTATGTATCCAACACGAGTAAAGACTTTTTCATGTATTTGGAGGGTTATGAGAGGGTTATCCCTTGTACTCGTATCCTAAAATGTGTTGGACATGGTTGCTTCATATAAAATACGAAGCAACCTCAGTTACTAGAACCCTAAATCCTAAAGTCCAAATCAGCTAAATTTGGGAAAAGTCTAAATCCATGCATGGAGCTTATAGGGGGCATTGAAAGAGAAGTCATTTTCTGAGAACAGTAGAGATAACATGAGAGTGATAGCTTTAGATGCCATGGTTTGCAGTTGACTTAGCTTGAATCCAAAGATCCTGCAGTTTTTTACCATTTTCTAGCTCAGTTTGCCTCAGTCAAACTTTGGATGAGGAATAATCAAACAATCACCATTGCAGACATCTCAATTTGCCAAAATTAGCAGACAGTCTTATAGCACCTGAATAACTTCAGCTGCTTACATGCTTTTTTCATTATTAGTCAGGAGTGATTAGAAGGTAGTATTTGTTCGAAAGACTCTCAACCATTTAACAATGATGAAAGCTCAAACACCCCTAAAAATGGCGTCCTTGAACCAAGGACCTCTAGGGATAATAATCTTCCCTTAACGAATGAGGTCGCTTGGTTGGTGCTGCTTACATGCTTTACCATCAAACAATAGGGTTACATCTGAACCATGTCCTGGAGCTTATATTAGCATTGAAACCAGGTTGTTGAAGTTACTTAAAAACTGATGCACTTGTTCAATCAATGAAGATGTTATAGCAGACCAAATGGGGCTAAGATGAGTACATCTGCAGCAGGAACCATAAGAGGGAAAGGGGTTGAATACAAAGAATTACACAGTAAAGGACTAAGATGCCACCAAAATTTTGGTACTTTGCCCATCTGTAAATGGTCCCCTCACTGCTCTGTATTTCTTAGAGCCTAATATAAACAAATATGAATCCATAAAGGAATGCTTTGTGTTCTATTCATATTTGCATTATGGTTGTTGGTTATGTTGTTTCTGCTCTTCTTCTTTTTTGAATAAATCCATGTCCGACAAATATCCGAACATAGATAAGAACTCTTCGAATAGGTGAAAATATCTAAACGACTCGATATATATATATATATATATATATAAGTTCTGTTGTTTTTCTTGTTGTCATATAGTTGAGCTTACCTACGATGTATAATTGCAGTGTAATAATTAATGAATAATTGTGGGATGATTAATGCACGATAGAGAAATTAGTTGGAGAATTGAATGCCTTTCATGGTTACTGTTGTTTTGGTTATTTTGTGAATGAAGTTATATTCATTTCATGTAAGAAAGCAATCAGTTATATGACTTCATTTGTAAGAATGAAGCAAGAAGCCATGAATTTAATTTTAAACCTCCATTGCTTGGGCTGATCAGTGGAGCCTAATTTACCGTACAAGAACAGATGCATGATCAGGATATGATGGTCCAAATTTTATTAAAAAATCGAAATAAATTGAATTGAATTAAAATAGACTTATATTTTAGCTGGACTGGTATAGACCTACACCTGATCTTAGCTGCACTAAAAACAACCCAAAATTAATATTTTAAATTTGTTATGAACCGAATATGGATCTAATTTTAATCCGGTAATTAAGTTACAATTTGATAAATGATAAAATATTGTATGTTTTATTCTACTTTTGTATTATATTACTAATTAACAGCCACGTTTAGTAATAGTATGATAGCCCAATATCATCTTTCCTCATTTAAAAGGCTATCTCTATATTTTCTAACAATTTCTATTTTTAAAATATTTGATATGAAAGATTAAAGATACCCACTATAAAAAAATTTTAATCTATGTGATTAATTTTAATTGATATCATTTAGATGATAGACTATATTAAAAAAATCACTTTTTTATAAAAGTAAATTAACATGAAACAAGATAAATATCTACATTCAACTATTCCTACATGTCAAACTCATAAATTAAAAACAGATTTTAAAAGGACTTTTTTTAACGTAAAACTTATATTCCTTAGTCGGGATTTTAAAGGGGCTTTTAATAATACGGTAACATATGCATTTATTACATAAACCATTAGTTTTGATCTGTTTTAATATTTAAATTGTAACACATCAAAAAAATCTCTAATTAAATCTCAATTTAAAACCCTAGAAGCTGAGGATTTTTGTCTTAAATCCCTTAATCAATTTCAGTGACCTAATCAAAAAATTGGGAAGTTGAGATCATATTTCATAAACCCTATAAAAGTGGACGACTAACCTTGTAATTAACCCATTTTCATTTAAAACAAACCCCTTCCCAGCTTCCCTTCCCGGCTATATCTCTGTGTGCAGCCTCCTCCATTTTTTATTTTATTTCAAACCCGACTATATCCGGGGATGGGCATAATATCCGAACTCGATAAGTTCTAACTCGATCGGGTTTAGGTCAGGTCGAGTTGAATTTTATTTAAAAGAGATTCGGGTTTAGGTTGGAGTCGGATTTAAGGTTAAAAAACTCGAATACCCGACCAGACCCGAGTATATTTTCCCCCAATTCACTCTTAGTTGTCACTTTCCCTTCTTTCTACGTATAGAACTCACGAACGAACGAACAGTAAGCTCGCTTTTTTTTTTCTTTTAATTTTCGTGCAAAAATGAAAATTTTATGGAGTTTTAGTTCATCATGTCATCACCCATTTCATCGCCCACTAAAACTTAAATATTTCTTTTTCAGTTTATGCCTTCAAGAGTTCCATTTTTTAAACTTGTCTTCGCACAATCTGTGCTTTGTAAAAGTGAAGAGTCTCAACTTTATTGAGGTAAGTATTTTCTCTTTTTGTCTTTTTATTTTTTTGTTGATTTTATATATATGTGAAAATCATGTTTTTATTCAACTTCTTGTTAGATTTAGGGTTCTAATTTTAGAGAAAATTAGTAACTATCATTTAGTTGTTTTTTTGTTTAGGGTTTTAATTGTTGTTTTATCGATGCGGCCATGCCTTAAACGAGTACAATACTCCCAATTAAATTGAGTAAAGTGGTTTTACATATTTACTAGAAATTTAAATGAGATGAGAAAATTAGTAATTAGCATGAGATGAGAATGGCAACCATCCCATGCAATGCAAATTTTGAATAGAGATTTGGGTTTTACATCTTTACTGTAAATATTGGGTTTTAGAAATTTGATCATGTAGTCATGCCATGCAAATTTTGAAAAGAGATTCATACAAATTAGTAACTGGTGGACTTTTTTGCTCTTAGTAACTGTTGGTGATGAGTTTAGAAATTTGATCATGTATTTGAGATATTCTTCCCTTTTATCATTTATATTTGTTTGAACTTTAATGATCAATCTCTCGCAAATATTGGGTTTTAGAAATTTTTTACTTTTTTCGAATAAAATATAAAAAAAAAATTAATTTGGGTCGGGTTTTATATATATGGATTGGATCCGGTTGGGTGAATTTTTTTTTTTTGTTTTGAGTCGGATTAGAATAAGGATGGAGGTGTTAGAATTTTTGGGTCGGGTTGGATGGGTCGAAAATCCGACCCGACCCATGCCCATCCTAATTCTACCCATTGATCTTGCCAACGTGAAGGTTGGTCAATATTACGAGGTGGTTGTCACAACCCTACTTTTTATTTTATTTCTGTGTGTGCAGCCTCCTCCTACTTTTTATTTTATTTCAAACCTTAGCAGCAACCATTCTCCTCCATTACCGCCACCACTTGCTCGCTTCGCCGCCGTTCACCGCTCAGGTAGGTCTTCGGTCAGCGTCCCAAAAGCTTACACGCTGTGACCCGAACCCCCCCTCCGTGGTCGTGGTACTGGCCTGCACATTAAGACTGAAAACCGGTCTCTTTGTTTTACTCCGTCACTGCTCCGACCGTCGCAAGTGTCGGGGCTACTCGTAGGAAGCTCGATCTAGCCGGTGGTGCGCTCGGGTGACCCTTGTTGGCCGTGAGGGAGGCTAAAAACACCATTGTCGAATCTGTTTCGCGGGATGACTTCCGTTTGGTAGCGTGAGTTCACCGTGGCCGGCTGTGATGGTCATCGGTTCTTTGGGACTGCTGTCGGTGAAGTTTCGTTGCCGACAGCCCCTGTTATTCGAACCAAACCCGGTGCCAGTTCCCGATCAAATTGAAAATTATTTTAATCGCCTTTGAAATTATTATGTTAATCTGAATTGGGAATCTGAAATCAGACGTCGTAATTTTTGCAGGGGATATCGAGTCGGAATCAGGGTTACCGTCTCCTCCACCGTCACTCTTTAATTTCCACCGTCACTCTTCAATTTTGAATTGAACCATGTTACGAGTGTTGACTGTGAGTGGTGACAGCTATTTTTACTCGTCAGGTTTTGTCGGATATTTAGATTATTATTTAAATTATTAAATTATTTTGTAAGTTCTGATTCGGATCGATTCACTGTTCGAGCTAACCGAGGAAAAGGTTATTATCGTCCTTAATTGTTTGTCGAGGTTTGTCTCACTATTCGGTGTTATATTATTTTGTTTGAATGCTTAATGGCTTGTTTGGTTGGAAAATGTTTGAAAACAATTCTAACTATGAAATTGATTGAAATAAATGTGAAAATGCCACGTGATACATGTTTTACTGTAGGAATGGGAATATTGCTGTGCATACGTATTATGTAAGTATGTTGAATGATCGAAATTGAAAAATATGCTTCGGATTATTTGTTATGAAGTATTGTTATTTGAATCGGATCGGACATTGGATATGTATGTCATTTGAAGTCACTTTTGGATTCAGCCTTTTTAGCTGACCCACTTCATATGGTGTGGTTTGATTGTAGATAGTGTGATTATAGAAAATCAACTCGTTGGATGATGTGACGGGAGTACGGGTGGGTGTCATTTGCATATCATTCAAATATTTGATTATCACTGTTTGATCCGGTCTATCATTAATATTGGTTGATTTGGACTATGCTGTGACTCGTAGTTGTTTGCATTTTACAGACTCACTAAGGGTCCGTTTGTTTGGAGAAAACAATTTACAGAAACTGTTTTCCCCGTTTTCCCTTGTTGGGTTCATGTAAAAGTGGTTGGGCAAAGGAAAATATTTTTCCGTTCAAAAGAAAATGGCCCCCTTATCCAGTAAAACAACTTACGGTCTGTAAAAGGGTAAGTCATTTTCCGGCTTCACCTTCAAAGCTGATACCCAAAATTGTCTGATCAAACACCACCATCGACTGCTCACCGACGACGTTTATCGAGGCCAACGGTCATCTTCTCAGGTAACCAAAAATATTTATTACTCCTTTTGTAATTTCAGATTCTTCTGCTTCCCTGTTTTCGTCCCAACCGATTTTTTTGTCTAGCTTCTCGTCCCTCTCGTTTCACAGCCTTCTAAGACTCTCTGTCGATGTCTTTGGAGCCCTCTCCATCCCTTAGCAGAAAGCTTTCCCGATTAAGTTAGAAGCTAACTTTTCCTCGTTCGATTTCCTTTATACAAAATTTTCATGATTTGTTCTGTGTTTGTTTCGGAGAATTTGAGTTTCACTGGTTTGTTTGCTTAGATTTCTGAACTGGTTCGGATTAAATAAACACTCCCTATTGGACATAAATCGCAGGATAGGAGATCGTCTTGGAAAGGTGATTAGTGTTTTAGGGATTTAGAAGTCTCAACTTGGGGGTAAATGGCGAGAGCAATCTCACCATGCATCTTCTGTCAAATCGCTCGAAGTTCCAACTCCACTCCCCTCCCCTCCTTCATTCCGTTCGTTCCTTTTCTTTTTCCTCTTTATTCTGTCCTTTTGGTTACCAATTTAATTCCACGTTCGTCTTCTTTTCTATCAGCATTCAACCAGAAATACTTTATAAGTTCTAAATCTGTTACTGTTTTCAGGATGACAAGGTCGTTGCATTTCAAGATATCAAGCCTGCTGCTTTCAGGTTTCTATGAACTGATTGAAATGTGGTAATTTTCATGATAATTTTGAATAACTGGAAAATTATTGATTCGAGTTTTGTAGGCATTACTTGGTGATACCAGTGGAGCACATTCCAACTGTCAACGATCTTCAAAGAGGAAATGAACATTACACATTGGGTAAAGTTCCCTTTGTAGACTTTTTATTTACCCTTTCCTCTTTCATTTTTCATTATTTTCCTTAGCTAAGTTTTATTTGTTTATGCTGTTATTCTTCAGTAAGTCATATGTTAAATGTGGGGGAAACACTGTTACACAGAGATGCACCTCAGCCAAATGAATACAGGTATTGCTTCCCATAAAGTAAACAACTTTGCTAAATGGGTATCCTTTCATGTCCTAACTTATAGAATTGATCTATGTTGAGTAGACCTTATTGCTTTTTCATCACTTGACCGCAATGTTTGATTTATAGGTTCATTACTGTTTGTGTAAAAGCTCTTAGAAATGGACATATTTTGTATGAACTGTCCTTGTTTCATGCATTAGGACTTGGATTTCAATTACTCCTTCAAAGCCATGTAAATGCTTTCTGTTCTGGTTTTCATTTGTGTTAGATAATTTTTGCAATCAGTTTACTGTTGGAGAAATGTAGTATGTTCTTGAATTATATTTTGTTGCATGAGTTGGGTGGCAAAGGGGCAGAATGATACCATTTGTGAGGGCTGAGGGGAATGATGGGGGAGGACGTGGGTCTTACTTGATCTTTTGAATCTATTTAAAATTCATGATAAATAGTGTTCTCTCTTCAGTTACAAATCGGCTTGTGAAGCATAAACAAAATGTTGAATGAAAATAAAGTTGTAACATTTACCTAATGTGTGAATTCTTGAAAGAAGCAGGTTATGCCGTTATGGCCTCATAAGTTACCTTAATTGATTTTTTTTGTTTTGGGAAAAATAAAAAAAAAAATGTTTCTGATTGTGTTAATTTAAAGAAGTTTAATCGTCTGATCCTATTCGGTTTTGGCAGATTTGGTTTCCATCAGCCTCCGTTGAACAGTGTCGACCATCTCCACCTCCACTGTTTCGCTCTTCCTTTCATACCTAGGTGGGTTTCTTCGTCTTTCTTTATTAACTTATCAATTTATTTTACCTTGAAATTTCTGAAAAAGTTGCAAAAGCTATAAGTACTCATTCTAATTCTTAAAATATATTACCAGATGGAAACAATTAAAATATTTATCTTTGGGGCCACTTGGGTTTATAGAGGCTGAGAAGTTGTTGGAGAGGATAAAACCTTAGTCACCGATCCTTCCATAGGTGCAATTGAATCACAGATGGATTTCTCTCCCAGATTGAATCGCAGGATAGAAATTTTCAAGTTTTGCTTTCTGGGTTCTTGATTTTATCTCTACTATGTGTTTTTTTTTTCTTCCTGGTAATTTTTGTGGATTTAAAATTTTCAAGGCTGGGTAAATTATTGAAGCCACGTACATGTCTGTAATAGTTTTAGATTAGTAAGATTAGCTAATTTGAAGTTCTTTGTTCCTTTCTTCTAAATGTCATATAAGTAAGTGAGTTCAGACTATTTGTTCAGCACCCAGAAAGATTATTTCTTCAAATTTATGTTTAGAAATTACTCCGTTTATAAAAGGTCCGAGTCTAGTTTTTCTAAATGAAACACTTTACTATTTTTCTTGTAGCACGTGCTATCTCAATGGAGAAAGAACTGAACTTCTATAAATTTATTAATCGATAGGCCATTCTGTATCTTGCTGCGTTTTGCCCTCATAAGTGACAGAGTAAATTATATCATTCATCACTCACTCAACTATGTTCTTATTTCTATTTTGGTCACTAAAGCTTATTTTTAAATTTAATTACTTAACTTTCAAATTATTCTTAATTTAATCATTTTAACTTTCAAATTTAATTTTTGGGTAAACTACGCCAATGGTTACTCATGTTTGGGTTAGTATTCGTTTTTACCACTGATGTTTAAAATATCACAAACCGGTCACTAATATTATTGTTTGTTACAAAATTGTCACTCGATGTTAACAGTCGTTAATAGGCGTGATGGAAGACACAACTAGACCGTTATATGCTGACATGGATCATTGACCACCATAGCTAGACTATTTTGATCGGCTCTTCTTCTTCAACCTCATCTTCTTCCTCAAACCAACCCCATCTTCTTTCTTTCTCTTCACTTTTCTTTTCCATAGCTTCCCAATTAAACAAATTTACAATTAACCAACCCCATCTTCTTCCTCAACCCATCTTCTTCTTTCTTTCTCTTCACTTTTCTTCTCATTGATAATTTTACCCTAAAATTAATTATATATTTCATAGCCAAAAGTCTAGCGTAGCTCAGAGAAATGAGTATAGAATATTGCAGAAATATAGAAGTAATACAAGGTGGGGATGATGATGATGGTGATGAAATCAGTTTCCCCCAACTCAACATTTTGAAACCTGTATCTCTACCATAGTTGGAGAGCTTTTGCTCATCAGGGAATTATACCTTGGGGTTCCCATCCTTGCAACTGTAGTTGTGGGAGGTTGTCCAAAGATGAAGATGTTCTCTGGAGGACACTGAAACACTCCAATGTTGCACAAAGTGATGTCACGTGAGGGGGCAAAACGAAGGGCGTTGGAAGGCAGCCTTAATAGCACCATACAACGGATGTTCGAAGCCTATGTATATGACTATATGTAATTTTCCAAATTTCGTTATTGTTTAATTAGTTATTTGGTTTTACATTTCACTCTTGACTATGTTCTTGAACCAAAACCAAAGAATTGGAATGAAAAGAACCATAGAATGACATGGTAGAAGGATATGAGAATTCTGAGGATGATCAAAGTCATGCTTGAACTTCTAGTACCCAGGAAACCCTGAATTCATTCTCATATATTCTGCTTATCTTCTTTTCCATGACTAATATGGCTATCATAACAGAGTGTCAGGATAGAAGAATCTGAAAAATTCTGAAGAGGCGCAATTTGGTTATAACAATTCAAGAAAGGATAGTCAGCCAGTGGTATTATGGAATACTGTTGGCGTAAACAAGTTATCCTGCTAACTCAGATACCAAGACAGTGGTGCAACAAAAGTTTGTTTACACATCACGTTTTTATCCAAATTAGTTTATTGATTCTTTAACTATTTATTGTTCAAAGTCTTACCAAGTAAGAAATTATCCCATGATTTCTCGAATGACTCTTTCGATTGACTTTGGTTATTTATCTAGGAGTCTTTTATGGGCAAAGTCAGTAGGAGATTATGCATATCATTTTACAAAATTCATTTGCATCATTTGCCCTTTTTGTTCATTTACATGGTAGGACTTCCTTTTACAGGGAGTTATTGATGTTTTCTTCTTCTTTTTTCATGAGTATATGTGCTACTTGTAGACACCCGTTTTCTTATTATTTGTTTTTCTCCAAAAAAATATAACTAGCAAGAGTTCCTCTCCTAGGAGGACTCTTCCACCACCATATCTTTTAAAATAAAAACCAACATATCCCATGAAATCCAATATCCCACTACAACTCAACTTCCCCAAGAATCCCATACTATTTGGACTCTCACCATCATCTCTCATACATCCATTTTTAAACCCATCTTCACACCTTGTAAAGGAGAGGAAAAATTCTGAAAAGAAAAACAGTAAAAGAACATAGAATTTTGAGAAGATAAATCTGTGCAAAGAAAAAGAAAGAGCTCTATAGATCGAGGGAGGTACAACAAAAGCAAGTGGCGAATGAACTTTTAAGTCTTGAATGAGGTAGCGTTCAACATTGAATTTTCAGACTTGAAGAAGGTAACATAATCGAAATTATTTTCTTTGTATACCTGCACGCTTTTGGTTTAATGTTTTTCCATTTGTGGTTAATCTGCTTGACTAAACGTGGTTTTTTCAAGATTCCTATGCTGATCGATGTTTGAGTGGTGATATCAATAAAATTCATTCTGCCCTCAATTTCATGATTTTTTTAATATTTTTTTAATTTAATTTTGAAACATGTGGCTCGATGACTTATTTCCTTGGTTAGCCCACTGGACTAACGTGATTAATGTGTGAAATTGGTGGTTGCATTTTAGTGGATTAATTAAAGGTTTGTTTCAATTAATTAATTTGGTTTTGGCATGTGATTTGTAATTTTTGCCTTTTGATTCCCATGGCCGACTTGCTTGGAATAGATAAGCTAGTAATTGTTTATGAATTTCATACATGTCGTGAGCATGTTTTCAATTTATAGGTAAAAAGCTAATTAGTAGATTTTGGTTCACTTTGGCATTAGTTTACACAATTGAGTTGTAATAATGGAATTAATTTGATTAATTAGGGTGTTAACTACTTTTACGAGGATAGTAATCAACGGAATTAATTTTCATGTTTGATTAATAAATTGATTAGAATTCTTTAAACAATTTGTTATTCGATTAATTCATTTGTTAGGTTAGAAAATTAGTGTTATTGAACTCATATTATATATTAATTGGTTTTAATTGGCCTTTAATTTTGACACCTAGACACTCATATTAATTATTCTTATCCGTAATTGGACTATAGGGAAATAATTTGATGATTCAATAATTATCTCTCTTTTGGTCTTAATTAAGAATTTGAATAATAATTTTGATGCATGTTGTTGAAATTGGGTATGTTTGAATCAAATATTTTTGACTTTTTCGGTAGTAATTCCAATCAATCAGAGGTAAGTAATTCGAATAGAATATTTTAAATTTAAATTTAAATTTTTAATTTTCGCAATTGAAGACAATCGGCAGATTAATTAGTACCGAAAGGGCGGTTTAAGGGTGCTAATCATTCCTTGACCGTAATCGAATCCTGAGCCCGACACATTTCTGGTAAAAAAGCAGATTAGGTAAGATGGTGTCCGACCCACCTAAATTCGTTTTAAAATGGTCGGTGGCGACTCTAACCCAAATATTTCAAGTTGAAGCCCAATTTTGGGACCCAACCGAAAGACGACTGCGACACTGCTGTTAAAGCAACTCCTCCATTTCAAGAAGATGATTGCCCACTGACTTTAGCAAATATCATTTGAAATACATTATTGACCAAGAATTTCAAAGATTGGTGACAAAGGTGATGGCCTTTTAGTACATGGAACCCAAGTTATTGTTCAGTACACCAGCTTTTATTTACAGTATATCTCAATTTGAATACTTTCTATTGCTTCTTAAATGAAACACTCAACATTCTGAACTGAACAACAAGGAATTATAACTTTGAATTTGTATTAGTGAAGAGGAAGAAAGAAGAAGAAGATGGGTTGAGGAAAAAATGGGGTTGGTTAATTGTAAATTTATTTGATTGGGAAACTATGGAGAAGAAAAGTGAAGAGAAAGAAAGAAGAAGATGGGGTTGGGTTGAGGAAGAAGATGGGGTTGAAGAAGAAGAAGAGCCGATCAAAATGGTCCAACTGTGGCGGTCAACGATCCATGTCAGCATATAACGGTTCAGTTGTGTTTTCTGTCATGCCTATTAACGGTTGTTAACGTCGAGTGACCATTTTGTAACAAATGATAACGTTAGTGACCAGTTTGTCAATTTTTAAACATCAGTGGTGAAAACGAACACAACCCCAAACATGAGTGACCATTGGCATAGTTTATCCTTTAATTTTTTATTTTTAATTATATGTTAATAAAACCATAACGAAAAATGTCATGTCAAAAAAATTATTAATGAAATAAATTAGAGTGATTAAAATAGGAGCAATTTGAAAGTTGAGTAGTTAAATTAAAAAATTTTAACTTTTGTACCAATAAAGGAGTAAAAATATAGTTGAGTGATGAATGATATAATTTACTCATAAAAAGATACAATGGGATTAAGTTTTTAACGACGATGTATCAAAATGAAATAAAAACTAAATGTTAAGTATGATTTGGAAAACTTAAAAGTTTAGATACTAAAACTGATCAAAGATAATAGTTTAGGTGTTAAACGTTTAATTTACCCTCAATAATATTATAGGGATAAAACAAAACAGCAAATGAGGAAATACAAATTTAAAAGAAAAAAAGAGAAGGGTGGCGTGGGGAGGAAGAAAAAAACCCTAGCGTTGCTGCTGCCCGACTCTTTGGTTCTTCTTGGTCGTTTCCTTGGCGAGCCTTTGTTTTTGACTAGTAAGGACCTCTCTGTTGCTCTTAACCCTTAATTAAATATCAAATGGCTCCTAGACCCTAAAACTTTCTTTGACGCCATTGGGTAAACCAGATTTAGATTTCGTTTAACCACCGTGGGTCAAGCAAACTCTTATTACCAGCATTGATTGCTTCGTCATTCATTGGTTGTTGTGTTAGGGCATATGGGTTCTGAAGAACTATCACTCATTTGCTGTGTTGACATAGAAATAGGATAGATTTATTAGCCCCATTCTGTTTAATGCATAGAAATGGACATCTATTTCTGATTTCTGCATGTTGATTAATTTATAGATCAGATCAAAACATAATTTAGGGTATGTTTGTTTCAGATATTTCATTTTATGGAAAATGTTTTCCTTAATTCCGGTGTTTGGTTGGGAAAAGGAAAACACGGTCAATGGAAAACAAACTACAATCAAAGGAAAAAAGGAAATAAAACACGGGAAAACAACTTACCGTTTATTTCTTGGTAAGTAATTTTCCTAAACTCACCGGTTATTTTCATTTCCCCAAATCACTTCCTCCTCCGATTCTTTCCTTCCAATTTCCATCCTTTCCCTTATTTTCCTCTTGATTTTTGTTCTCCTTCATCCTGGGCTACCTGCCACTAGGTAAAATTTTCACTTCTTTTCCTGAATTAGTGATAGAATCTTCATAATTCCATGTGATTATTATTTTGAAAGGGAATTCATTGTTTTTGTTGAAATTTGTTTGATCCACATAATGGATTTCAACTGTCTACGGGCTTTTGTTCTTTGATCTTCGTGATAATGATCGAAAAGATTAACCTTGGCACAATCACGACCATTCGAAGTTTCTTTTTCCGTTTCCTCAACCCTTTTTTTTTAATTTGATCGAAAGGACTTAGATTCCGTTGGAATTTTTTGGATCTTTACACCTACCAAACGGGGCATGTTCACTCGTATGGTATTGTTCGATTTGCTAATTGGTTAACAATTTTGCAGATAGTGCGCTTTTCGATGCTTCCCAATATGAATTTTTTGGTCAAAATGCTATGGAAGAAGTGATGTTTGGAGGTCTGGAAGATGGTGAAGAAGAAGCCCCTATATTTGCATACATTGAAGATGACGAGTATTGTTTGTTTGATAAAGGAGAGGTGAGATTTCATTACTTTGGTTACTAATTGAGCTGCTAATCCTTGTTTTGTTTGCAGTGACACTTCTGCATTGCTTTTGTAGCTACTTCTATTTTCCCTTCCATTATATTACGACCCCTAAAACTTAATCTGTGTTCGGATTTATTCTGGCCCTAGACCTGTCAGCGGGTTTGCTAAATCAACACCTCAAGGGATATCTAAATGCATGAAGTTGTGCTCGTAAAAATAAAGTTGCAATGGAACATATGATTCCTGCCTATATATGTTTTGTTTATTTATAAACGTTGCAGTGTGATGAATGTCAATAATTAGCCTTTCCCAGTAGCAGTTGTTTATAAGATTTGATATGCATGTTACCTTAGATGATATTGGTCTTTCCATTTTCACTTTCATACCTTATATGAACTAGTGTGAAACCGGAGAGAGGGGAGTTTAGAATTGTTGTTTTCAACAAGATGATCTTTCCATTTTTTTCATCTAAAGACTGGTTTGAAGATGGTTGTTTTACCATGGTGTTGGCAGATTGAATATCTTAGCATGCATATATTCATGTACTTCTGTAAATGTGCTTATTTGTTTGTTTTCTGTTGTTCTATTGCTACCTATTTTCCTTTTGTCTTTTCATGGTGATTGGATTTTAATATATCTCTTTTTTCCTGTAGTTGAATAGGGTTGTCGTTGGACCAAGAAATCCCGGAGTTATTGGTGATAAATCTGGTTCTTTTTCAAGGGAAAGTAAGTAAAACTAAGCCATATTTTATGCTTGTATACTGTGGTTATGATATGTATTAGATGAGTGAAACCATGTGATATCAGTTGATATTTGTTAAAAACAAACACTTTTATTCTATTTTTTGCTTGAAGATCTTGGGATCAGTTTAGTGTATATGATAATAATTTTATGTATATGCTCAAAAATTTAAGAGAAAAAAAGACATAAATGTGTATTATTCTATTTTTTTTCAACTTTAATACAGGAATTGGATATATTTAAATTTGAATATGGATTTAGATTAAATAAAAAATGGCAAGAGTCCTGTCAGATTAAATGAGTGCACGAAATATGATATTTTTAATTAGAAAAACCCATTAACAGTCGAAGCAAACTCAACATTAGTTGAGCCTACGAAAAAAGAAAACATGACATTATATAAAAAATCATACAAATACAGCATGAATACATGAACATGTCAAAATCTATACATCATAAACTATCAACTAATGTAAATTATATTAGTTAAGGATCGAAAAGATTAACCTTGGTACAATCAAGGCCATTCGAAGTTCGGTCAATACTGTGAACCTAGGAAGCACGGGGACGCTATAGTTGTGCCGTTTCAAGTACCCGATACGTCCCCGATTTGGGGACGACACGGGGACGGTTGGGGTACGTTTCGGGAACGTGCCACAATGGCAGGTACGATTAAACGACGTTAGGGACGTTTTACTGAGACTTGGGGGACGTTTCGAGACACCAGACGTCAACCAAACACACCACATTCTGAAAACGCACCGCATACTCCACCACAATGAATCAAACTCCGAGATCCGTATTCGAATCACGAAAAGAAATGCTTAAAACATCACAGGAAAATAATCAACACTAGAGAGATTAGTGGTTTTCGGATTCTAGGAGATTTTCTTCGTCTGAAATAAGCACGGTTTCCCCGCGGAGGGAGCCGTTTTTCCAATGAAAGCTGAGAGAGAGAGAGAGAGAGAGAGCGAGAGAGAACGGATTGAGAAACAGAGAAAGGAAAAGGAAGGCTTAGAAAAGTGGAAAAGAAAAAGGATAGGATAATTTATACGTTTTATAGCCAAATTTTAATGCTTTAGATGAGCTTTAATATTATTCATTAAATAAAAAATAGTTTATTGAGTAAACTTTTTTTGTATAAAAAAAGGAAATAATTGAAGAGGAGTTGTGAAGGAAAGTGGTTGTTGTTCGGTGGTTTAACATAAACACCTAGCCGGCCAAATATGCTTTTTTCCCCATTATAAAGATTAAAAAGTTGGATTCGTAATGGACTTGACTGCATTAGATACTCCAAAGTTACCGTACGGGTAATAAATCATTCTTTCAACTTTAAAAATCTATAATTCAATTCTCCAAACATTAGATCTAATTGGTAAAGTTTTTTCCTCATCATCACCATTAAATTTGGTATTAAAAAGTCATTCAAATTTGATATAGAACATAATCCAATTTCATCATCTAATTGGATTAATAATGAAGTTAAACATCGGTATTTATTTATTTTTTATTTTTTATATTATACCTTTTTTATTTTCTATTTTTTATTTTTATGATGCTATTTTTTATGTCTTCATCTTCTTGTCTTTTAATATTTTAAATTTTAATACTTTTAAATTTAGTATATTTTCAATCTTATTTATAATTAATTTTGGTCGTTCTCATTGTTTAACTTTCTCGGGATTATTTGACATCGTCTCGATTGATCATGATGGCTTTTATTTGTTATATTGTTTGATTTTGACTCTCAAATTGAATTAAAATATGCGATTTGCATTCATAAATAGTTTTCTCACGACACTCAACTTTAATTTGCAATTATTGATGATCTTTCAATATATTGATCTATTGTTGTGGTTCATGTTTCACTGTAATGAGATCTATTACCATCTATATTTTGTTTGAATTTTTAGATAGATGTTTAACATTTTCTTTGTATGATTTTAATTTAAGTGACTAATTTTTTGTGTCAATGGTTATATGAATCTTAATTATATGATTAATTTGTGATTGTAAACTTTTATTATAATTTTAGATTTTTTTTAAAAAAACTAACAGTTTATATTTACATCAGAAAATGTGTATATTTATTTTATGAATAATTTAAAATTATTTGACTTTATTTATGATTTTTTATATATATTTATAATTTTAAAATTATTTTATATGTCGTACCTTAACCGTCCCCGTACCCTGTAATTTTAAAAATTGACGTTTTCCGTCTCTGTCCCTGTATCCGTATCAGTGCAACATAGCTGTGAACAGCAGTCTGCAATGACTACTGCTCCATTTGAGACGAGAATGTGGGATAATTGATATAAATGCATAGGGATACTTAGCCATTAACATAGCATAATCCGGAAAAGGTATTATATTAATTAAACCTACATATGATATTAATTATGTGTTAAAATTTAATTTTAAAAATGCTAATAGATAAAGTATAATGAATAGTTCAAATCTAAAATTGTGTATTTATAACACAATCAACATAATTAATATATTTTATACAAATTTAATTTCGTGTAATTATACAAATAAAACATTTCATTTCAAAATTTTATAAAATAACTTGAAAAAATTAAAATGTAAATAACAAGAAAAATATAAAAATATATACATTTAAAAAAAAAACAAATTTCGTAAATTGTTTTCAGAAAAACTAACCAAACAGTGTAAAACATTTTACAATGCAACATCCAAATAATGCAATTGGTTTTCTGAAATTGGTTTTTCAGAAAAACAATTACAGTTAAACAAACAGACTCTTAATATCTTTCAAAAATCCTAATTTAGTAACCCTAAATAAAGATAGGGCAAAATATTATTGAGGCCCAAGCCCATTTAAAACCCTGAAACTTAAGACCTCTTTCTGTTGCCATTAGATGCATCGTTGCTCCTAGTAAACGAGAACCACAGTCCCCTTACCCTCCTTAACGGCGTGCGCCTCCGTATCCACCACACCCATATCCTTCATAACTCCCATAACCACAGTCTCCACCACCACAGTCGTATCGACCGTTTCATCCTCCAAAGCCGCTGTCACTTCTGCTTTTGTGTGATTTGGATTCTTCGACGTTAATATTGATCCAAACGTAGTGTTGGAGTTATATTTATCTTTTTAAATTTTTTATGTTTGAAAGATCATCACGCATATTTATGTTTAGACATGTATTGATTAGCATCACAAAACCTCTAGAAATTTGTATTTCATATGTTTAAGGTGTAATGATGAGTTTAGCATATAATGAAACATTGCTTCTTTTAACCATTGCTAGAACAAAGCAACGCCAGAGAACAAAAATGGAGAAACTTGAAGCTAGTTCAGAAGAACCCAAGCCCTGTAAAAGGAAGCTAGACAAAAGGTTGAAGTTATCATTAGCAAAGCCTTCTTTTCTTTTAACACTGGGAAGAGTCCACATTCGATGGGAAAATCGGCAAAGGATGTGTTACCTCTTGGAGAAACTTGTAAAGAAACATAATTGGGCCGAGGCAAGTGGAGTATTAAGCTTGTTGCTTAAGGGTACTTCCAATGATTGTTCTGCTGATTTGAATCGCCTCAAGTACTCGGTATGGCTGACTTCTACCTTGCCTAGTCGGAGTTTTGCATGTGTATATTTAGTCGTGATGTTAAAGTTTGATCTTGGCTATTTTTTGAGAATTTTTATTTGTTTTTGTTTGATTGCTTCTTTTACTGCATGCTCTTTGTAGAAGTATAGGTAAAATGCATTGAAATTGAATGAGCAGGTAATGTAAGAGTTTTAATGTTAATTCATTTTTTAATGAAAAAAATACATGATAATGTGTTAGAGATATTTTCTAGCTCAAGTATTTTCATATGCCCCTGGTTTCGGTAGAATTTTCAATGTCTTAGTGGTTGATACTTGTTCTTAAATCTTAATATTTATTATTGGCTTCTTATGTTAACAATATCTACTTATAAGAGGACCTGAAGCACTACATGATCAGAGAATGTATGGTTCAGGGGGGATCTTTAACTTCAGTTAATAGCTACAGAATGTAGATGCGTTTATATTATTAGTATTATTAATGTCATCGTCATCATTGCCATTTTTATTAATTTTATGTTTTTTTATCCATGGAAACAGTAAAAAGTGCTACCAATACAACTGATTCCAATTCACATATAGAATGTTATTTGTACATTGTATGTATAATTTGCGTTTTGGATATCTAGTGGATGTAAAATTGTTGATGTGTGTAATGAATGTTTTAGGTTTCAATTAGGCTTCTTAAGCACATAGATGGGGATCATGTTGACTTAAGAAGGATCAGGGATATCTATGAGATTTGGATGAACAGGATTAGGACGAAGACTGTCAAAGTAGAGGTATAGTTCGGCACATTCACATATAGTTAGTTCGCAGACTATCTGTTTATTAACATAATCTTTTCTGGTGAATAGGAGCAAATCGCACTTCATTTGGAGTTCATTTTTTTCTGCCTTACACATGGGAATCTTGATTGGGCTCATCAAGCTGCTTTAAGGTATTCTTGTATACAAAGATGATCTAGGGTTGATGCATGTAGATGCAGTGTATTTCTTTGCTTACTATTATCTACTTGTCAATCATTTACATACATGTATTTGTTACAAATCAAGCGAGAATAGGAATCTAGTAACTACTTTGTTTCCAAATAAACTCCCTCTTACTTTCTGACTATCAATAAAGAGTTGGCTTGCAGTGTTGTAAGATTGCCATTAAACAAATCACTTTTTGTAGTTGAGGGGAGTGTGCTAGCCAATCAGGTTTAATATCTTTGCATGGTGTAGGATGAATTTTTACAACACTTGCAATTCTAAGGGTTATTAGGGTTTTTGGTAAATTAAGTATTTGTTTTAGGAAAGGGAAAAATCAGGTTTGGTTGGCTAGCTTATAGAAGTGTTATGATCCTTGGTTATTGATCGCATCATTAGGCGATTCACAACTGATTCACACTGAAATAGGGGGCCATCTCCCTCACACATGTTTCTTGCATGGCATATCCTGCAAGAGTTCGACTCGTCAAATGGAGTTAACACCTTTTTTTCATTACCATAAGCTTTGCTAATAAATTCATCTATAACAAGAATCCTGCAAGGAAGAATAACATTGCACAGCAGATAGATCTAGCAGCAAAGCGATTTTTTTTCTCAACTTGCACGGCAGTATCTGTGATATACTAGATTTAGTTTAAAGAACTGGTTCCGTGATAATATGATAGTATTTTCGGTTCTGCTACATGGCATTATGCATCTCTGTTTAGACATAACAATGGATGGCTATTGCAAAAGAATTCTCCTAGTTTTCCATATTAGCTTTGTTGATACATTTGCGTTCAAGTTTTGTAATGATAATTATATGAAGATCAAGGTGTATTGTCTTTGGAATTTAATACATGAATGAATTCAATGTTTGAGTGACTTTCATGAAATTTCCTTTCTCAGCTTAATGAAAGAACGTTACTTCAGTGGCCATCCAATGTCATATTTGGTCATGGGCTTGACATTCTGTCAGCTTTGGTATTCCAATCTCACTGAAGAGGTTAAGTTGAGGGATTCAGACTAGGATTACTTTCCTCAGCCATCAAGCACTGCAGGATCAAAATTAAGCAATGAAGTTGTTGACTCAGTAGGGAATTATGCAGCTTATACTCATGACACTATTACTTCCCGATATGATTCAGAGACATCTGTCATGAATGATAAAAGAAACACACTGGTGGCTGATAGGAACCTACACAGAGACGTTCCTGTGCCGAAACATGTTAACGTTCAGAGTGCTGTTCATGTCTTACAAGAGGTTGAGCCGCTAGGCTCCTACCAAAACTCTGCTGACAATCAAGCTGGTTTTTATAATGATAGTGGCTATACATTTGATCCTTCAGTTTTCTCTGCCTTAGGTAAACTCTGAATGTCTTATATGTTTCTTTTAGTTGTTATGATAGTGCGATTCTTTATTTTTGGTATTCTTATTTGGATTTTGTTGTGAGATATTGAGCAATGTGTTGCCTATGTTTGGACATCTTATGCATATTCTGAATCAACTAAAAGTCTTTAGTGCTTAATGGTGGATTGTTCTTCCTTCCCCCCCCCCCCCCTAATTGTGTAGCTGATCATAATTCAATTGTGAACTAAATCGGAAACATGCTAGAGATTGAAAAATGAGGGGGGGTTGGAATTGGACATACAGACTGGACACTAGGAATCAAAGGGAAAACATAGAGTATGAGTCGGACAAATGAAGATGCTGTAACATATCACAATAGAAACATTGATGCACGTCTATTATAGTAAAATGTTCATTTTGTGTTGTTATTTGTTACTATTTTGCACATTCATCCTTGTTACCTGGTATAAGGACACTCCAATTTTTTTGTACATGTGACAAAAGTTAGATGACTTAATTATTTGACGGGTCAAATAACATATTTGCAGTTATAAAGAATGTTTACGATGCATTATGTGATTTTCTTACAAATCAACCATCACAAATCTTTTGGCTTTGATTATTAATATTGTTTCATTGTTCTATCTGACACCTACATCATATTGAAGAGTATCATGTTTCTTGTTTCAGAGGGTCTAGAGTCTTGGTTGATGCCCTTAAATCAAATAACATATTTGCAGTTATAAAGAATGTTTACAATGCATTATGTGATTTTCTTACAAATCATCCATCACAAATCTTTTGGCTTTGATTATTAATATTGTTTCGTTGTTCTATCTGACACCTACATCATATTGAAGTGTATCATGTTTCTTGTTTCAGAGGGTCTAGAGTCTTGGTTGATGCCCTTAAAGTTGCTGTATTCTAGTGAGAACTTTGTCTATTTTCACAGGCAAATGCTTAATAATCATTATAATGATGCTGTGAAGTATCTTCGGCTTGCTGTACAATGTGAACCCCCATTGTCAGCTGCCTTACTTCCTTTGGTACAGGTAAATTTTATCTTGCCTTTTCTCTTTTTGATTTATTTGAAACATATACAATATAAGCTGGACCATAACTATTCTTATAGAGATCACATGTAATCTAATAAAGCAAAGCAGGAACCATATGAGTTTTAGAGAATCGTATTACCTTTAGAGGATCGTAGTGTAATTATTAGGTTTGTAAAGAGAGGTGTCAATTGGGAGGCTGATAGTTTGGCCAAGGCGGGTATAGGATAATTTGTTTGTGTTTATTGTTTGGTAATTTATTGTTGTTTACAGGGTTGTGATTAGGATAGTTGTTGATCTGGTTGTAATATCCTGGTGATGTATGTGGTGTAATTCCTTTATAGCAATAAAATTTGAGGCACTCTTTTCCTCCTTCCAATGTCCATTGTGTTACTTTGTAGCTTGATGGTCATGAAGGGCTTTTTTATTGAGGCCTCTCCTTTCTATCCAAAAAAAAAAAAATATTCTCATTGATTCAAACACGATTTTCTGTTTGTTTGCTTTCTTGTCAATTTTATGACAGTTATTGTTGATTGGAGGTCAAGTGAATGAGGCTCTAAGTGAAGTCAAAAAGTTCTGTAACACTTTGAACACTGCTTTTGCATTTAGGTACTAATCTTCCAAATAAGTTTATTTTCCCCCTTTTCCTGTTTTCCCCATCTTCCCCTGTTTGCTGAGAAGAGAATTAAAATGGAAAATGTAATTCCGAAGATACCATATTTGATTTTGGCTTAATTCAGTTAACTTGATAAAAACAGAATACGTAAAATATGAACAAGTAGTGGCTAGAGGATCGTAATGATTATAATTCATGTATTTGTTGTGACCGTTAATTCTGCCGATGACAATTGTTTAGAGATTATATCATATCCGAATGTGTTCGTTTCATATGCTCTACCTGGAACCTGTATTTTTTGGAATACTTTGTTAATTTCACAGTGAAAAATTAATTTAGCCTTCAGTATGCTAATAATAATATCTACTGTTGATCCTCTTGCTGGCTTTTCATAACACTGGTGTTGATTTTCTGCAGATTGACGGCTAGTCTTTTAGAATACTTTTATTCTAACAACTCTGTCATGCTCTCTACTTGTTTCGAGGAGGTTTTGAAGAAGGATCCGACATGCTGCCACTCATTGGGAAGGCTTGTCAGCATGCATCAAAATGGTATATTATCGATTATCTTGCCTAGATACTAGATAGACACAGTGTTCACTTTATTTAGCAGTTGTTTCTATGTGTAGACACAGTGTTCACTTTATTTAGCAGTTGTTTCTATGTGACCATTCTTATCGTGACGCGTGGCTACCATCCATGGCCTATTAATTCTCATCACCATCTTTTGTTCCGCTTTCACTGCCTTACTACTTGATCGTAGATTCTCATGCATATATAAGTTTGATTTCAATGATCTTTTCAGGTGATTATAGTCTGGATTCTCTTGTGGAGATGATTGCTTTGCACGTGGAAGCCAGAGTCCGATACATGGAGGGAGTTTGCTTCATGCTTCCTCAAACTATATCAGTACGAAGAGGATAGACTGGCCATATATCTTGATAGAGATGAAGGTGAACGAAAAGCAAATCTCTCTATTTATTACAAAAGGATGCCACGAATGTTTACCGAGGTAAACTCGAGAAAAGCTTGGAGATTACGCTGCAGGTGGTGGTTAAAACATCACTTTGGTAAGCAGATGCTTGCGTCTGAAATCACGTCAGGCGCGTTCCTATTTCCCATCATGGAACAATGTTAACCCAAACCATAATGCTTTACTATTTATCTGAGATCACATACGAATTCTAACCCCATGTGATTCAGATAACTGCTTGACATTATTGTTTTGTCGCACATTCCATCCGCCACAGATTACGATTTTGTCACGTGAGATCGATAAATTTGATGTTTGTGTTGTTGTGGAACAGGGATGTTGGAGCTTTCAACTTACAAAGCAGCTTGTGCAGCCCATTTGTATGGTGAAGAATGCCATTATGCTGTGAAGGTTTACGCTCGTTTACAAGAACTCCATGATAAGGATCTCTGCGAATTCTTAAAATTACATGTGGAGAATTCCATCAGATTAAATCTGAAATTGCAAGAAAAACGAAGGTTCGAATAATTGTACATTTTTTTGGAGCTAAAATTCATAGCAGAAATTAAAAAAAAAAAATTGAATCGATAATTGAATATCATGATTCAAATCGATTGTCAAAGAAGTCCCATTGCTGATTACCCGGCCAAGAATTTCAGTAGGCTACAATTAGATTACTATTTAGTTGATACAATTAATTTATTAATCTTAAATTTATTTATTTTTTTCAAATCGGGTATCTAAAATGTTGGTCGAGATTTTTCGAATCGAGTTTGATATTTCCTAAAGTTAATATAAAAATAAATATTAGTGAAAATAATATTTAGTAAAATTTTTAAAACTTGTGAACGAAATTAATTCTAAAGGTAAAGGTTAATGATCTCTCGATTATAGGATAATATTTCATTGAGTCTCTCGACTATTAATAGTTATTAAATGGTCCTGTAAGTGTTGTTTTGTTGTGTCCCCTATAATTAAAAGTTATAAAATAATCACTCAATTATTCATATGTTATAAATTCGTTTTTTTTTGGTTAAAAAATCGGTGGTTGTCCGAGTTATACATAAACATATTGATTGATATATGATAAAAATATGATCCCAAAATTGTATATGGTGGATCAATTCTCCATTTGTCGAGCCATTGCTTAAAAGCAACAATGATGACAATAAATATCATTAAAATGTGATTTTATCATAACTCAATGAGCAGATTAACTTCTAGCTTAGACGAACGTTAATTTTTGTGATAAAAAAGACGAGTTTGGAACATACAAATAGTCTGATGACTATTTTACCTTTAATTTAGATAATTAGAATTCAATTTGGTTTAATTATTTTTACTATTCTATTTAGGTTTGGATTGAATTTTTAAAACTTAAAATAATTGTAGTTTTTTCGTTCAAAATGGATCCGAACTATATTTTTATTCGTTTTTATCTAAACCCCATTTAAAAAGGTAAAACAAAAAAATTTCTATAATGCCACTAATCTCATCCATTTGATAAAAAATTTCCTCGTAAATTTCATATTTTTATTTAAAAAAAAGAGTAAAAATCCGACCCGGTAAGCCGAAATGGCAGCATATAGAGCGGATGACGACTACGATTATTTGTTTAAGGTGGTGTTGATCGGAGATTCGGGTGTCGGGAAATCGAATTTGTTGTCGAGGTTTACCAGAAACGAATTTAGCCTTGAATCAAAATCCACAATCGGAGTCGAATTTGCCACCCGAAGTATTCGGGTCGAGGATAAAATCGTTAAGGCCCAGATTTGGGACACCGCTGGACAAGAAAGGTACATCTCTGAAACTTTTCTGTATCATTACTCCTATTTCTCGTTTACTTTGCTTTGTTTTGGTTAAATTTGAGAGATTTGAGGAAAATGAGGTGTTCTCTTTGTTGATGCAACTGCATTGAATTGCTATAATGCTTGGAATTTTGGAATTTTTTGAGGCTGTTTGGTTGCTGAGTAAAATGTAGGAGAATTATACGTATAAGGTTTTTTTTAATTATGAAAATTTGATGTATGAGAGGCAAGTTGGTGGTTCTAGTTTAGTGTATTGGTTTGATGAAATGGGTACATGCGGATTTTATTTCTTTGTTGGGTTGTTTGGTAGCTGAGAAAATGTGGGAATAAGTTGCATCAAGATTTTTTTTTTGTCTTCAATTATAATGCATGCTGATAGTGATTGGACTTTGGTTTTTGGTGAAAAACATGCATTTTTTTCTATTGGTGTATTGATTGAAGGCTTGAGCATATTTGAAAGAAAATTTTCTTGGTTGGCATAATGCAAACTTGATTTTACAAATTAGCTTGTTGTAGGTTATATACAAAATTCCCAAATTCTACTTTTCTTAAAAGTCATACTTGAATCATAGTTTTCTTTTTACAAAAATTGATCATTGTGTTCTTCCTTTCGTTCTAATTTTAAAGTTCTTTATGTTATTCGGAAATTTCAGACGTTTCTCAATGTCTTTCAGTTGGGATACATGCCTATATCTGTAACCTTAAATGGATGGACTTTTATGAAAGCATCTATACAAGTGTTCTAGGACGTGTATACGTTGTCGATCATGCATGAGACTTGAAGAAAGCTTGTTTTGCAAAATCAGATACTTTGAAATCGATCCATTTATGCATAGATACGTGATGTTTCTGTGGATATCTGTGTTGAGAACATGTAGAGCATGAAATGGATATGTTTGTCATGACTTGATTTGTTGCTGCATTCTTTTCTAGGTACCGGGCGATTACAAGTGCATATTACCGAGGAGCTGTTGGTGCATTGCTCATCTATGATGTTACTCGTCACGTCACGTTTGAGAATGTCCAAAGATGGCTAAAGGAGCTTCGAGATCATACAGACTCTAGTATCGTGATTATGCTCGTTGGTAACAAGGCGGACCTGCAACACTTGTTTGCTGTTTCCACTGATGATGCTAAGGACTTTGCCGAGAGAGAACACACCTTCTTTATGAAGACATCTGCCCTTGATTCTACGAACGTTGAGGATGCATTCACTGAAGTACTAACTCAAATATATCATGTGGTCAGTCGAAAAGCACTCGAAGGAGGGGATGATTGTAGAGTATTGCCAAAGGGACAAACCATCAATGTTGGTGGATCGAGGGATGATGTCTCAGCCGTCAAGAAAGACGGCTGCTGTACTTGATATGTCATTTCATTAGGTATAAGACTTTCCTCACTACCTTGTGATCCTTGAGCTTCCTCGAGAATCGACGTCGTAGTTGAAGAAAATTGTCTCCCCGGATATCCTTCGTTCAATTGATCTCTGCTAGTTTTTCATGATTCTTTAGGGTGTTCATCTTCCTTTTGTAATGTTCCATTTCACAGCTTTGATAGTTTTTGTTGTACTCGATTTCTTTACAACACATAGTTTGTTCAGACAGGTATAGTTTCAGTAATTTTAAATGATTTTTATTAATTGTGGATATTTTTTTGGATAGTACTCAACTATCACTTTTGTTCTATTTTGATCAACTAAATATTTTTTCAAATCATATCTAATATTTCGTTTTAGTTACTCATCATTAAAAAATTAATAGAATTGTTGTGACATTTTATTTTTTTAAGTGATGATGTGATATTATTTTATGGTGACATGTTGTTAGTATCATTATTAATATTTTAATAATGGGTGATCAAAATAAATTCAAAACTAAATATTAAGTATAATTCTGAAAAAATAATTAGGTGATCAAAATGGAACAAAAGTATAATTAGGTGATCAAAATGAAAAAATCACGTATAACCAATATGGAGAGAGCAGACGAGAGAACGGATCAAGAGCATGATCAACTAATTAGGAGTATGAAAAATATCAAAGCATCAGAGGTAGTGGAGAGCAGTTTGGCAACTGGAATGGAAGTGGAGGATCTGGTGAATACCACAATCGGCAAGGAGGATTTGGCGAAGCCTTCCTATCGCAATATGATCTTGGGCAAGAGTCTGATTAATGGATTTCAAGAATCTGACGACTTCGGCCCCATTAAGAAGAATGATGGTCTAATAACGGTGGGGAGCAAGGATTCCTGGCCGTCATTGTCTACCTCGGATAAATTTCGCGTAAGTTTAGAGATTAAATGGACCAACTGCTTGATTCTGAAGCTCCTTGGGAAATTAATTGGATGAACGAATAAAGAAGATGTGGATGCCAAAAGCGGAATATGAGTTAATTGATGTTGGAGATGGTTACTTCTTAGTAAAGTTTTCTTTGGAAGATCTTAGGTTGTCCCTGGAAAAAGGGCCATGGATTATTTATGGCCACTACCTTACTGTCCGAAAGTGGTTTGCTGAGTTTCACCCGTCATCTACCACTATTGATTCCACTGAGTGTGGGTTCGTTTCCTCGGTCTTCCAATACAGTACTATAATGATCGTATGCTTTTTGCTATGGGAAATACCCTTGGGCGAGCTATGAAGGTTGATCGGAACACTAGCTACGCTTCTTAAGGCAGATTCGCTCGTGTTTGTGTAGAAGTCCACTTTGGCAAAGCTCTTGTGCCTATGATTGAAGTTGATGGGCGGTGGTACAAAGTTGAATATGAAGGTTTGCCGCTAATTTATTTTCACTGTGGAAGATTTGATCATAAGGACTGCTATATTCTACAAGCAACCATTGGAGAACACCAGGAAGCAGTGGCCAGAGTTTCAAATCGCGGTCGCGTTTTCGGTCATTTCGAGTTTACCGTGATTGTGGCCGTCACGGGCGCTATTGCGGGTGTAGCGGGTAACTCGGACCTCGGCAAAATCGCTATATCACGGACGAAATCGCGTTTTCGGAACGTTGTTTGAAACCCTGGCAGTGGCCATAGAGTCTTTCGGTGATCAATCGGAAAATGTTGAATAAAACAAGGAAAGCACCTCTAAGGAAATTGCAATCTCCGAGGAATCTGCATATGGTCCTTGGATGATTGCACAACGCCGGAAACCTAGTAAAAGTAGCAGGATTCAAGGAGAAACATCAGGTAAAGGGAATATTCACGATGGATCTAAATTTGGATCGAGATTTGCTCCTTTAAATACTCCTTCGGAAGATAGGAAGGCTGTCATGGAAAGCAATTCTCGTGCCCAATCTTCGAGCGCGAATCAAGGGGAGAGGCGTAGTTCCAAAGTAGCCCATGTGGCCAATGAAAAGAAACCAAGAGCTCAATCTGTCAAAGATTCTGGGGGATTATGAAAGAAAAGAAGGTGGTAAGTGAGGAGGCCCATGTCCCAGTTATGTTTTTACATAGAGGTAACCCTTTAGACCCACGTGCAAGTCATGCACGTGTTAATGAAGCCATGAGGGTCTGCATGAGAATTAAGGTGGACCGTGTAATTAGTATGGGTGAAACTAATAATTTGGCCAATCAATTTCTTCGGATCAGAGGACGTCCAAGCCTCCTGTGAGGTCGTTGATTCAGCTAAAACAGATGGTAGTAGAGGTTATGATTCTATTTCTCCGGAAGGCTCCTCACCAGACCGGGTGGGCATGGAACACGATGCAAATGTTCTCTCAAGTGAACATACTCGACTTGAGACCTCTCTAATCATTTGTAAATGAATATCGTTGTTTGGAACTGCCGAGGTGCTGGAAATAAAGCTTTCATTAGGAATGCACGAGATATGATTAAGACTCATAAACCAGATAGTTTTGCTGTTGTCGAACCACGCATCTCGGGTAGCACTGCGCGTCGAATGGTTAAAAACTCGGATTTTCGAATGTCCACTTTGTTGACCCTGTTGACTACTCTGGCGGTATTTGGATGGTTTGGGATGGAAAAGATACTGTGATTGGTGTTCTCTTCTCTTCCCAGCAAGTGGTTCACTGAATCGTGAAAAATGGTATTGCGGATCCGTTCGCTCTTACTGTGATTTATGCAAGTCTAACTTTAGAAGTTCGTAAACGGTTATGATCAAGCCTCGAAGACCTTGCTAGGTCTATGGATCTCCCATAATGTTGTCTTATATATGCATGAAAAATTTGGAGGTAGGCGACCCTCTACTGCTCGTTGCCGTGCATTTCATGATATGATTTTCGGTTGCAGGTTGCTTGACTTGGGTTTCCAGAGGCAACCGTTTACTTGGTAGAATATGAGACATGGTAAAGCAAAAATTGTCGCTAGGTTGGATAGGGCACTAGCTAAACACTAGCTGGCAATCTCATTTTCCTGAGGCTCTTGTCTCCCATCTCCTGCGCCTACATTCTGATCACTCTCCATTACTCCTCCAGCTGCAGCCGCGTTAGCTTGTGGCGAGGGAGAACAAGCCTTTTCGGTTTCAAGCCATGCGGCTATCGAAGGAGGGCTTCCAGGAAATGGTAGAGAAATTTTGGTCTTTTTCCAACATTGACTTTGTAGAAAACTCCCAACAACTAGCTGACAAACTGGTGGCCTGGAACCGGGAACATTTTGGCAACATATTTGGGAGGAAAAAATGTCTGCTTGCGAGGATTAGGGGCATCCAACGGCTCCCCATTCAGCTACGTTACCATCAACTTGACACTCTTGGACAAGAGCTAATTGCCGAATATAATAACCATCTTGAGATTGAAGAAATGTTCTGGTTCCAGAAATCGCGTGTGCAGTGGCTTTAGTATGGTGACAAAAACACACGGTTTTCATCTCTCTACGATTACTCGTCGAAGACATAATAAAATTGGTATGTTAACGTAATATGAATGGTGAATGGATTAGCGGTTTCGATATCTTACTCTCAATGGTCCGCGACTACTTCTGTAATTTATTCTCCATGGATGGTGCTTCAAGTGCTCAGACTCCGAACCTCAATTGCCCAAAGATCAGTGTAGAATCGAGCCAATAACTGGTTCAAACGGTGCTGGAGGATGAAGTTCGAACTGCTCTTTTTATGATGAAGCCGTGGAAGGCGCCCGGGGATGACTGTTTTCATGCGAGGTGTCAACACACCTTTTCGTCCTACTATGATTCAAACTCTTAAAAATAAGATAGAATTTTACTAGGATTTAAACTCCTAAAAATAAGATAGAGTTCTACTATGATTTAAACTCCTAAATATAGGATCCACAAGCACTATAAATAGTCATTGTAACTCACTATTGTAAGACACGATTTACAGACAAAATACAGAGGAAAACACGGAAAATACAAAGACAAAACTATTGTAAACGATTCGAAATAATAAATGTGAAAGTTTTTTTTATTTTTCATTTGTTTCTCTTTACTCTTCACTTGCATGCGTTGTTAATCGTGTTTTCTTTGGAGAACCCCAAAGACAAATGTTTTAGCCGATGATCCAGAGGGAGTATTTTTCGAAACTTTGATTTTAGATCTACGCTCTCTAGAGGCTATTTCGTAAAAACAAATTACATTTTTGGAATGAGAGTACGAAAATCTATCAAAAAATAAATTTTTATTTTTATTTTTACTGGTTTTAATCTTCAATGTTCTTTGACATTTACCCACTTAATTTACATTCCTTTCATTTTAATCCTTTAATTAGTTTATATATATATATACATACTGCTAATTTATTTTTAATTTATCAATTTTTTAATTTTTTCTATTATATACGTTATTACCCATATATATATTATTTTCTTTGTATTTATTATTACTATATTTATTATTATTTTTACTATTATATTTTCCTTTTATTCTATTTATTATATTATATATTTTTATATTTTATATTATTATATTTTTACTTTCTCTTTCTTTTTTATCTTGTATTATTACTTGTATTATTTTTATATTATTTTGTTTGTTATATATAGGCGTATGTTCTTTTTAAATATTTTAGTTTTTATACCTATTATTATATATTTGGTTTTTTTATTTTAAGTGCTATATTTTATAATATTATACATATTTTTTCTATTAATTTTCTATATTTTTTTATTATCCTTATATTATATTTATTTCTTTTTTATGATATTATTGTTGTTATATACATTTTACTATTATTATATATATATTCTATACAAGTTAATTATATCTACCTACTTTGTCCCTACCCCTCATCATTTTTTTCTTCCTGTCAATTATATTTCACCAAACCTTACTTTCTTTTCTTCCCTTTCGGTGTGATTGTTTTTTTTAACTACTTATTATCATTATTAGTATTGTTACTATATATATATATATATATTGTAATTATCTTTATTTGTTTTTTACCATTATATGTGTATATGTTCTTTCGTCATTTAATTTATTAATTTATATATATTTACTTTTTTATTTATTTTATATATATATTATTCGTACTTTGTTATTATTATTTTGTTTTATTTATTTTCTTTTTCTTTTTCTTTTTTTATATATTTTATTATTTGTTTTTTTTACTTATTATTTTATCTTTGCTTTCTTCATTTTATCATTTTACTTAATTTGTTTTCTTTTCATTTTAATTTAATTAATTAATTTCTTACCATTTTA